ATCTTATTTCATTTATTTATTTATTTATTTACTTACTTATTAGATATTAATAATAAATAAATTAAACGTGTACACGTGAAAATTAAGGACATGAAACGAATGCTTATTCTTTATTTTTAATTATGTAAAACATAAATGTTCGGGTATAGTAAAATAATATTAATTCTCATAATTTTTCACAAAATCCTTGGCGTATTTCAAATATTCGAAAAAAATATTTTTATAATGTAATTATTGTTCGGTAATAATTCTTCTTTCTTTTCTTTTTTTTTTTTTTTTTATTTTAATTATAAGATTTTTAACAGTACGATAAAATCCTATTTATAACGGGTGTTCATGTAAAATACTGATTCGTATAACGAAAACACAAAAATTGTGACTTTGCGTTCGTATATTATAATTTATTTTTATAATTAATAATAATTATTTTTTTTTTCTTAATTATAAGATCGATAACAGATTTTTAATATTGATCCATACAATATTGACATAACATAACGCAAAAATTTCAATTCGTGTTATATTATAATTAATACACGTATTTTTTTAAATAATATATTAATAATTAATAATAGTGAAATATTATTTACTAAATAATTTTCTTACATTCTAATAATCTTTATGTTATAACAAATTTGTTTTTTTAGCTTAATTTCATAATTTTTGATATCTTTTTCTTTCAAATAATCGTCAACCATTTTAATTACTTTTGATTGCTAATAAACGAAGTTTGATATATATTGCCGTAATAGTTAAAAGTTACAAATTATGCATGTAGCGTAACTTGTAAAGTGAACTGTATCCTATGTAAACTGTCCATTAATAAGTAAATAAATTAAACGAAAAAAATAAATTATTAACGAAAAAAAAAAAAATATTAATATAATTCAGATCTCGATTTTTTTCTTAAAAAAAAAAAAAAGAAAAAAAAAGAAAAAAAATCTCGTTCTCTCGATTTATATATCCTTTTATAAAAGAAAAACTCTTATCGTAAAAATAATTAGAAAACATCACTTCCTTTTTTTCTTTTTTAATAATAAACCCTCCAATTTTTTTTTTATATCCATTTTTATTATATCCATTCGAATGAATAGATAATTCACATTATGTATTATTCGTATTAAATACTATTTCCTGTATGATGTTATAATTAAAAAAAAAACTAACAAATTAAATAATATAAATTAATTAATTAATAATTAAATAAATTTAATAAAATTGAAATAAACTAAGCAAATTAATAAGTAAAATTTTAAATAAATTACAAAGATAAAGAGAAAAAAAAGAGAGAGAAAGAGAAAGAGAGAGAGAGAGAGAGAGAGAGAGAGAGAGAGAGAGAGAAAGAAAAAAGAAGGTATGAAAGATCAACGTAAATCGTATGTTCTTTGGGGCAGATCAAAGTGGCAGGTTTAGGAAAGACGTATAAAATCCAATGATAACGAGAAAATTCCAGAGGTAATCGAAAAGCTCAACTCCAGTTCGTCGAAGAGTTCGTGGAAGTGCATCGATAAAGCGCGAGATAACGATCAAATCGACTTCCATTCCGATCACGTGCACTTGACGAGTATCGTTTTCAATGCGGTGCTGATTGCAATTATCTGCCCGGTTGCCTCCTCATCCTGACGTTAGAACGAAATGTATCGAGATTTTTCGACTACGTTCTCCGTCTCTATCACTCCTTTCGTTCTCGTTAAAACGAGCGTGCTATCGATTAAACGAATTCTCTTTATCTCTCTAGGTTTTATTTTTTCTTTCCTTTTTTTCTTTACTTGATAACACTCACCTCGAAAAAAATGTGTACATGTGTATGTGTGTGTATGTGTGTGTGCGAGCTTGCGTACGTGCGTATGTGTGTGTGTGTGTGTATGTGTGTGTGTACGCGCGTGCTTTCGACGACACAATATCGCACTAAGCGCGATTTTCATTCTTTTCTTTTTTCTCTCGAAAAAGAAAGAAGAAAGTGTTGAAAAAAAGAATAAAAAAAGAAAAAAAAAAAAGAAAGAAAGAAATAAAAAGCAAGAACGGAAAAAAGTAGGAAAAGAAAGAAAGAAAAAGTAGCTATACTTTTACATGGGTATGTTACTCGACGTATCACGGGCAATAGAAAAATTTGGCTTCGTGCCTTCGATTGTTCCTCGATTTTTGTTGTTTTCCGGTTTTTTCTTTTTTTTTCGTTTTTCTTTTTTTTTGTTTCTTTTTTTTCTTTTTTTTTTGTTTTTTTGTTTTTTAGAAACGTTTGTTGTTACGATCGTTGACGATTTTTTCAAAGGCCACTCTGGCGTCGCTTGATCGCGACAGAAAAAAAGGAAAAAAGAGAGAAAGAGAGAGAGAGAGAGAAAAAGAAAAAAGAAGAAATTATAAAATCGAGCTGAGAGATCGAAACGGTCGAATCTTTTTTCGATTAAACGAAACTAAAAAAAAAAAAAGAAACAAACAAACAGAATGGGAATAAAACGAAAAAGGAATAAAAGAACGAAAAAGAAAGAAACATTGCAGAAATTTCGAGAGAAATTAATTCCTAGAGGTAACTTTGTGCTCACGCATAAATCGATACGATCCTTCAATAATTTCCATAATTCCTTTTCCTCCCTCTCTTTCTCTCTTTTTCCTCTTTTCTTTCTTTTTCTTTTTTTTTTTTTCTTTTTTTACTTTCATCTTTTCTTTTTTCCTTGAAGAAGCAAAATAAATAAATATATATATATTGCAATATTTGTTTATTCGTAGAATCAATTATTTAATATATAAAGCTGAATAGAAATGACATCACCGTTCATTAGTTAAGTAAAGATTCCTGTAATTATTTTCTTATGAGATGAAATAAATAAAAAGAAGAAAACAAAAATAAAGAAAAGAAGATGAATAAATAAGATAAAATGAAAAAGTAGAAAATTACAACAAGAAAAAAAAGAAAAAAAAAGAAAAAAAGAATAAGAAAATAATATATAATATAAAATAAAATAAAATATAATAAAATGAAATGAAAAATCAGTCGTGCAAGTTCTCTTATAAACGACGTAAACGCGGGATGTTTGCTCGACGATGTAAAATGTAACAATGAACAATGGAATAAAACGGGCATGTAACGAAAAGTAGAAAAAAAGATAAATAAAAGTTACTAACATCACTACCACCATTACTACTACTACTACTACTACTACTACTACTACTATACTACTACTACTACTACTACTACTACTACTATTACTACTACTACTACTACTACTACTACTATTACTACTACTACTACTACTACTACTACTATTACTTCTAATAGTAACTCAGAAGGGAAACGAGCTCGAAATGTTTTTCCGGATGGACTCGTGTCGTCCTGAAAACCATTCGCGATGCACCAAGATTCTTTCTGCCACAAAGAATGAAAATACAGTTTCGGCGGTCAAAGATAAGCACGGGGGTTTTTTTTTTGTTTCTTTTTGTTTTTTTTTTTTTTTATTTTTTTTTTTTTTTTTTTTTTGAACGCAAACGAAAGGAAGGAAGTAAACTCTGTTCTCTGAAAGAAAGAGAGATAGAGAGAAAGAGAGAAAGAGAAAGAGAGAAAGAGAGAGAAAAAGAAAGAGTATATATGAGAGAGTGTGTATGAAAGAGAATGTTTGAGAGAGAGAGAGAGAGAGAGAGAGAGAGAGAGAAAAGAAAGAGTCATATATACATATATTGTGTGAGCCCGTTTTACACGCTTTTTCCAAGCCACTTCTCATCCGTTTACCGACTATCACGTTACACAATCGAGCTCTCTGCGTGTTCCACTTTCGTATAAGAAACGACCGAGCGAAGAAGTTAACTCTATCGAAGTAACGTTTTACGAAAAACGAAATGAAAGATAGCGATCGTTCGCCACAAAAACTTTTCACTTTTCGACAAGCACGAAAGTTGTGAAACTTTGTTAAGTTCTTTCTTCTTTTTCTTCTTCTCCTTCTTCTTCTTCTTCTTCTTCTTTTTCTTCTTCTTTTTTTTTGTCTTGCTCTTTTAACGCATGGTGTGTAATTGTTGGTCACCGTGATGTTGGCAACTCTACCGTCTTATTATTCCCTATTAATTAATTTATTGAAAATGTATAAAAGAAATTTTTCATCGATTTTTTATTTACGATTAATCCTCTTATTATCCATGAATTTCTAAATATATTTGGAAACAATTTTCTAATTAATCCTTTATGTTATAATAAATAATAAAAATTGAACAAATGGACATGCAAAATATATGTATATATATATAAACTAGACTATAATTAAATATGAATAATAATATGTATAATTAAGTATAAATAATATTTTCATTACAATAATTGAGCCATCATTATTATACGACCACTGTCATTTTATTATAAATTAAATTCTATTGAAAATCATTAGATAATTTTTCATTGATTTCTTTTAAAGATTAACGCTTACATAACATAAGAAATATGTTTTACAAAATCATGTAAATTGTAATATGGATTAAGAAATTATTTAAATAATCCTTTACATTATAACAAATAATAAAAAGTGAACGAACAGATCTACGTGTATTACATAAAAATATAATTATAATTAAAAATATACTTACCGATAAATATAAAAATAAATTATAATTAAAAATATATTATTATTTTTATTATAACAATCGATGATATAGACACGATCATTTCGAAAATATTTCAAATTAGACAAAAAAAAAAATACAATATCCGACTATACTTGTATATATCAATGAGTTACAAATATTTTTTTCGTTTTGTATTAATTCATATTTTATACGTGATCGCGTTTAATGTATATTTTTACGAATTTTAACATACAAATTGAACTACTTCTTAATAATTATTTATGTAAGTATGTATTATGTATTCATACAATATATATACATCTTACTTCAATGGGTTAAGAGAACAAGTATCAAAGCGATATATATGCTAAACATGACACGATCAATATTCCCGATAGCTCGAAGAGGATGTCGAAGGAATAGCTCCGTTCTAAACCCTTTTCTAATCTGTATTCCAGGATGGCGCGTACACGTTAAAGAGCGAGATGGAAGCTCTAGGTCTCTGTCCTCACGATCCAAGGCACAACAGTACCGCCGTCTTCGTCGGTAAGTACAACTTCTTTTTCTTCTTGTTTCTTTTTTTTTCTTTTTTTTCTTTTTTTTCAATTTCCCATTACGTAAATTCCCATTAAAATGTATTACCTATGTAACTGTGTATATAAAAATATCTTTAATTTTGATATTATCATATGTGATATTTAACCGTAGCTCTGCACATCTCAAAATAAATTCAACTTGTGTATTTGTGGTGAGTTACAACCCTGCCACTTTGAACATCTGTCATTTATACAGAATGAATAATTTTTATTCCAAAAAGATACTGTATACTGAAGCTATTTTGAAGTCAATTTTCAATTCTGTCATTATAAAAAAAAAAAAAAAATTCATGAATCAGGCAATACGTAAATTGTTTTAATTGTGCTGAAAGTTGATCTGAAGATCTACACCCTTTCCACTGACACAATTAGGGTTAAAAAAATCGAAATGATTTTTTAAAAAAATTTTTTAAATGATCTGATATTAAGCGTAAAAATGTTCCATGTTGAAAAATGATATCCAAAAATAAATTGCAAATTCGATCGAAGTAATTAATTTTCCTTTTATTTTTATTGTTTCCTTATATATATATATATATATATATATATATATATATATAAAAAAGCGCGGGATTAAGCAATGAATTGCAAATGCGATCGAAGTAATTTATTCTTTTGTTTTTTTTTATTTTTTGTTATAAATAATCGTTATTAAAATATTTGTGAATAATTTTTCATTTGCTGATTTTCAGATAAAATTAATATTAATTGAATGCGTTATACACAAAAATGAGTTAAAAATTTTGATTAAAATATTTAATAGATTACGAATTTTTTAACGAATTATAAAACGATTTTGTATATTTTTATTTATTGAAATATAATTGCGAATAGTTATCATATTATTTTCTATACTATATAAATTACTTCAGTTTTTTTTTTTTTTTTTTTTTTTTTTTAACAATATCGAAATTTAGATATTAAATTTGGAATTTTCGAACGAATAGAAAAAGAAAAAAATAGAAAAAGAAAAAGAAAGAAAGCAAAAGAAAAACGTACATAGAAATTAATTAATTCATCTATTAAAATAATGGATGAATCATTTAGTACATTATTTCGCGTAAATTGATCATAAATATTAATTTATTAAAGATGTTAATATGTATTAATAAAAAAAAAAAATTAATATCTATGTAAAAAAAAAAAAACAAAATACAAAAGATAAAGTGAAAACTTTTCCATCTCTAATGGTGATCATACTTTGATAATCTCTATCATATTTTTCTCATCTTCATCTACTAACAAAATCATATCGATTGGTTTGTCCATGATTCTCAATACACATACACACATACATACATACATACATACATACAGGATATATATAACTTAATATTTTTTTAACAAGTATATTGTACAAGTAATTAATAACATTTATTAATTTTATAGTACATATATATTTATTATTCTATATATATATATATATATATATATATGTATATAAATAAATATATATATATATATGTACATATATTAAATATGCATATGTAATATTAATATTAAATAATAGTTTAATGATTATTATCACCTCAAATATCTTCGTTATTTTTGACTTAATGAAAAAAAAAATTATTCGTGACCAAATTACATTGTTTCAAGGGATACTTTTTGACAAATGATCAAGAAATTTTTTTTTTTTTTACGCAATTTCAAGGTCATTGACATGTTCTAGATAGATCTCTAACATTTTTTTTCAAATGCAATTTCAAAATATGATTAGTTCGCAAGTTGTTTTGAACAAAAATGTTAAAGAAAAAATGAAAAAAAAAAAAATAGTAAAAGAGATGAAAAAATAAATGGCACAAGGTGGACTACATATTCGCGATCATGTTTTCTTTTTTTTTTTTTTTTGTAAGTGCACATATACATGCATTATTGCATTATTAATGTACATACATAATATATACTCATTGTCAGTTCTTTTTCATTGGCATATTATATTTATTAACAAATTACTAAATAATTTTTCGTATTTTTTGATTTTAAAATTGTTAATTATAATTATAATAAATTATAGTTATCAATCTATTTTATATATTACGTACATTACATTAATGTGTTTCGAATTTAACAATGAAGAGAAAAAAATATAGAATGAAAAGTATACAAAAATTAATTCAAAAATATATATAAAAAAAAAAAAAAACGTTCAATAAATAATTTATAAACATTTCAATTATTTAACAACATTTATATATTATTAATAAATTATTTATTAGATATTTAATAAATAATTTTTATTAAAAAAAAAAATAAAAACTAGTACATTCAATATTAATAATCAATTACAATAAATAATATTATAGTTATCGATCTATTCTTTATGTAATAAATCCAATACTTTGTATATTCAATGAATTTCGAATCTTTCAACGATGAGAAAAAGAAAAAAGAGAGAGAGAGAGAGAGAGAGAGAGAGAGAGAGAGAAAGAGAAATGGAAGGGCTAAAAGAAAGATACAGGAAAAGGTGCATATACAAAAATCGAGTTCACCGCGTTATCTCCGCGCGAACACGCGCGAGCATACGGCTGACTTTTTTTCTTCTTTCTTCTTTTTTTTTTTTTCTCCCCATTTTTTTCCTTTTTTCGAACTGAGGTTAAACATCTCGCGCGCGTGTTTTGTGTGAAAATTATACGAAGGGATTCGAGGCGTTGACTTCGTTTGCGCAAAAGGTTGTATACACAATCTGTAGATACATATATACATACTTACATACATACATACACACGTACACACATATATACAGTGAAAGAGGAGGAGGAGGGGCGCATTTAAATGGGAATACTCCATTGCTATCTCGGTTACTTTTCTTCTTCCTTCTCTTTCTTTTTTCTTTTTTTTCTTCTTTTTTCTATCTTCTCTCTCTCTCTCTCTCTCTCTCTCTCTCTCTCTCTCTCTCTCTCTTTTTTCTCTCATTCCTTTTCTCTCATGTATTTCTTTTTTTTTTGGTTTTCTTTTCTTTTCCTTTCTTTTCATTTTCCACTATGATACGAAGAATACGTAACGGCGCCAAGAGCTTTTTCAGATTCGAACGAAGGAAAATGAAAGACAAGGAAAGAGAAACGACGTATATATATACTTTTACATCTTTCCGGATGTCCCGGGAACAGAGTTAGACGTTACCACATATCAGTAAAGTCCGAGAACGTTTTCTACCTTAGATATTTTTAAACGTACGAGAAAGATATTTTTCGAAAAATATTATGACCCTGTTAAAAAGTCGATCCTTTTGTTTACATGAAACAATGAAATAAAAGAAAGAAATAGGAGAAATGAAATTTAATGATATAAATTAGAAAAGAAAAAGGTAATTGTTATTAATTTTATTAATATTCGAAGAAGAAAAGAGAGAGAGAGAGAGAGAGAGAGAAAGAAGCTGGAAGGAAAAAAAAAGGGATAAAAATAATGCCTTTCAATTAAATCAATTATTATTTGAAAAGTCGAACAAAATCATCCGTAAATATAAAAAGAGATTCGTTTAAATTAATTTCATCGTCGTAAATAAAAATTTTGCTATACTTTTAGATAAATATATATTTATTACGAAATCTTCGAGTTCTTTGCATTTTTAAAAAAAGAAAAAAAGATATATATATATATAAAACGACGATTTTATCGCGTTTGATCGCTGAATAATTATTTAGACGAGAAATGAATCGAAATTGAAATAAAAAAAAGATTAAGAAAAATGTCGTCGTTTCAATAGACAGGAAGACCGAGACCGTTCGTGAAATGTATAAAAGGAAAAAAAGAAAAAAAGGAAAAAGGAAAAAAAATAAATAAATAAACGATATCTCGACTCCTCGTCGTTCTCAACAAGAAAGAACTTCCATTGCTTTCTTTTCTCTTTTTTTCTTTTTTCTTTTTTCTTTTTTATACATTTCGTCGCGAAATAGCTGTAATACATTTTCCAATCGTACATTATCAGAGACCTCGCGTGGTTTTGACAAAGTGAATTGGGTACTCGAGCGTTCCCGATCCTTCGTCCAATGAGTGTTCTCGTCGTCGTTATCGTCATTGGTCGACGTATCCCCCTCCTCCACCTCCTTCTCTACCACTATATATTCATACATACATACATACATACATATATAGATATATATATATATATATTAAAATACACACAAGTAAGTATATGTGTGTGTAATTATACCTACATACAAATCTATATATATATTTATATTATATATATATATATTTATATATATATATTAATTATATATACGTACAAATATACACATATATACGTATATGTATTTGGTTGGGTGAGTGTTACTGACGTATTTACAGATGATCCGACACATATACATGCATATACACACATACGTACAAACATATACATATATATATACATATATATATATATATATATTATATATATATATTATATATATATATATATACAAAACAGAACGAGAGGAAGAGGATGAGCACGCATAGAGCACTCAACGAGTGCACACGTCGCGCTCGTGTCACGAGTGCTTATAAGTTCCGCGTGCGTGACAACCATACACGCAATATCCACTCACCGCCATTATTTTCTCGTTGCCGCTTTTCTCTACTCTTGATAGTATTATGTCTGTTTTTGAGGTTGCACGTATTTATTTGTAAATAATATAATAATCAACTGTATTCTCTTTGCGAATTTGAATTTCGTCAATCTTTATACACGTCGAACTAACGAGATTGATTTTCTGATTATATTTCATTTGATTTTATTTGTTCTTTTTTTAGTTTTTCTTTTTCTTTTTTTGTTGTTTATTTTTCATTAGTATTATATACGTTGTTTAACTAATCGACGGATTACTTTTTGCTTGTTTTACATGAACTCGTTTCGTGAGGATTAAAAAAACTGAAAAAATTGATATTCTTATCAAGGATGTAATTTTTATAATAAATATTATATTTTTATTGTAAGATTTGTTATGAAAAAAAAAAAAGAAGGAAAAA